TGTGTTCTCCATTTCATAGTGTGCGAGATCATTTGTTCATGTTTAGATATGCTTTGAGCAGATATGAGCATTTTGAGGGATTTAATGAAAGATTGTAGTTTAAAAGCAGTAAAATTGACCTTGCTAACCAGACACTCTTCTGTAGTTAAACTAGTATAGCACATCATGCTATATGACAGTTTCGTGTAAGATACAGGTTCGAATCCTGTCAGAGGACACCTATTTTCTATTAAAATTTCTCAAACGTTCTGGCCGGTAAATGTTTTTAATACTGTTTATTATAAATAGAGCATTTACTTAAATATTTGTGCCTCTATAAATAACGTATAACAATAAAATATATTAAAATAATTGGTGGACTTTGTCCATTTTGTATTAATATTGCAAATGTGCATTTGAGAGGCAGGCACTGGAAAGTTCTTGGCTGAACCAAAAGAAGATTTTTTAAAATAATGCGTGGTTATTTGTTCAGATTTTTAGAAATAGGTTTGCTTGATAAGTGATCTCACTTGTATGTAGGTACATTAATATGCTTAATGATGCAAAAAGCATTTGTTTTATACAATAAATATTTATTTATTTCAAATATTAGAATAACCAGAAAGTGTTATTCAGTAGTGACTATTATTAATATAGATTGAACATACACATTATACAGTGAAAATTTCTGATAAAATTTTAGCCCATAACTGTATGAGTCTGTAGACTTATTTATCCAAGCTTATATAAAAGTGTGTGTGTGCACGCTTGATTAAATGCCATGACCATGGAATGTTGTCTTTATTTTTATATTTAACCTTCTTATTTCCATGTGAGTGAATATAGGTCAATAGTGTATGTATGAATTGTTCAGTTTTTTTTATCTGTTGACTATTCACTTGCCCATTAACAAATCCTCCCATATCTGAGAATAAAAATTGATTATGGATTATTATTTTTATAACAACAATACTTAGAAAGAATGTAAGAAATTTGTATAACTTAAGACAATTAAGTAATTACAATTGTGAAGTGATTTTTAAATTTCACTTTTAACATTATGGTGTTTGAATCTGATGTAATGCATGAGGCAAAACACAAATAGTTTTTTTTTTTTTTTTTTTTTTTTTTTTTTTCAATCAATTATGAAATACATTAAAAATCTCACTATCCTTATTGAAGATGATTTTATTTAGTTTTAGTTTCTTTATTTGTTTAGTTCTTATATACATTGACCTACTTGTGTAGAAATAAGTAAATAATATCTTATACCTGGCCTTTAATCAGAATATAAACATATACACACACACACATATATATATATATATATATATATATATATATAACCTACCTCTTGTTGAAAGAACTTTGCTTTTATATACAGTCTCAACATCGAAATAGGATTACAATTGCATATGTATGTATGTTTGAACGCGTCTAATCTCAGATTGTTTATATGGGTGTGTTTGTGTGTACTATAAGGCATACACCCGTATGTATGTATGTATGTATGTATGTATGTCTGTGTGAGAGTATCATCGCAAAATGGACACAGAGGAAGATTTCCCCCTGCCACCACCAAACATAATCAAACACAAACAAGCATAAATAGATTCAATTTTAAAAAAATAAACCAGTTTGTTTGATGATCGCAAAAGCGTGAGACCTAAGGTCTCAAACTTATATCCATACAACTGAATATATATATATATATATATATATACACACACACACACATATATATATATATATATATATATATATATGATTGCTTCCTAAGCCTTTGTTATTCTCAGATGAGGGCTCACCACCTGCACTCTTAACAGTCAAGAAGTCTGGAATTATTTGAGTTTTGATTAATTCTTTATAAAGTATTCTCTATCTTTATTTCTATAAATGTTATTTTTATTAGGTACACATATTTGAGTTGCTATATACTAAAAATACCCACTACAAATAATGTTTAGAGTAACAAAGAAATAATGTTTGCTAAAGTATCCACTTAAAAAGAAGAAATTCAAGTATCCTATATAATAAAACACAGTTAGGTGTTGTTTTATGCTTCAATGAGTTGCTATGAAAAAAGAAAATGGGATTGTGCTTCTTGGATAAACAGTTTTCCATTTTTTTTTTTTTTGTTGCTTTTATTCTTATTTTCTAGGTTCAGTCAGTCAGTTATGTGCCATGTGTGATACATGCTTAGGCGATCATGTATTGAAAGATACATGACTGACGAGGCAGATTTTTTCATGCAGTAGGTTGCCATTTCTTTCTGTGGTAGACCAGTTGCCATCCAAGGCTATAGAACTCGGTCTGTCCTGATATTTACCCATAGCTGGGAGCGGGGGGGTTGAGACGAAGTGGATTCATACCCTTTCTCAAGGGTATTAGCACGTAAATAAATGTAATGGATTTGACTGGAATTCAAACTCAGCTCTCCGATTCCTCAATCCGAGCTGCTAACCATGACTCCACCGTGCGTTTCTAGGTTCACTGAACCTATATCTATAATTCTCAAAATGTGTGTTTGTATGTATGTATGTGTGATCGGATTTTGTTTATGCATTTCCACAGTTTTCATCTGATTTTTGATGAAATTTTTTTTGTTATTATAGATAATTCTTCAGTGTCGATTTTGAGTCCAAATTCTTATCGACAATGGCTCTCCACTACTTCCTGTCCGTTATAACTCTCAGCAACATTTTACTATTTACTATCTGCTCTTGGATATATATCTTTCATAAAAACTTTAATAAAAATAAATAGTTTAAATTAGTACAATAATATTATTTATTATTATATAGTTCCCTTTTCAGGGTCACTCCATTCAAATTGTTAACCCACCCATTTGGAAATGTGCCTCAGTTGCACCCAAATGTTGTTACTAATATTGGTTTTCAGGTGGGCTGACTTTAAACTTAAACTGCTTGAATTGAACGTCAAAAATTCCTAGTAATGAAAGACCCGGGCAAAGATGGGTTATACTGCTAGTTTTTATTAAAGTAAATGGTGTGAAATCAGAATGAAATAGTATGAAAATAGAAACTACTTTCTTATTCTGATTTAATGTTGATTAATGCGTTAAGATAGGCTTATATTGGCATATTTGGATTAAATGTGACAAGAAGTGGAAGATATTTGAGGTAAAAAATCCTGAAAATTTTGAAATTTTTTTTTTTTTTTTTTTATAACTTTTCACTCTAATCAAGGCGGGAGTGCCACTAGCAAGCAAGAGGTTACAAAGAGTGGGAGCAAGAGTAAAGAGGCATGAAAGAGGAAAGGATGAAGAGAAGGACAGGGGTATAGATCAAGTCAGTTGGAGATGTGGATTGACATGCATTTGAATAGTTGGAGATTATAGCTATCAAGGAAGCAAGTAAGAGGTAGGGAGTTCCACAGATGGGAAGTGTGATACACGAAGCTATTGGAGTAGAAGAGACTGCTACATTTAAGCATTTCAACAGTGAAGAGATGAGTTTATTTTTTTAGTTTGACTCTTCTTATAATGCAATTAAAAAAAGACTTAAAATAATGCAGTGCATAATTTCCTCTAAATAATAAGGATGTAATTTAGAGAAACTTTGAGGAAAAAAAAAAAAAAAATTCCTGCAAAATAAATTTACAACAAATATTTTAATGTTTACATTTCTGTTGTACGAGTGAGAAAAATAAGCTTTTTTTTTTTTTTCTTTTTTTTTGAGAACCATTAACTACTGTGATTGATTGATAAATATTTGAAGATATTGTATGCTCCAGCCTTCAGTCTACCCCAGTGAACGAAATAACGGGTTCAATTTGATATTCCAACTGCCTGAAGAAGGCCTGAGCGTACAACAGCCGAAACGTTGTATATATATATATATATGGTGACAAAGATGAGGACAATAGCCCGAATAATGTAAATAGTGTGCTTCATCTCAGAAATATAGACAGATGCTTGGGGTGAATTGATTAAATTAAGAAAAGAATAATTAGCGTACATATATAGGGCTTTATACATTGAAATATATTTGCAGGAAAGAAATCCTGCAAAATAAATTTACAACAAAGATGCATATTTTAATGTTTACGTTTCTGTTGTACGAGTGAGAAAAATAAGCTTTTTTTTTTTTTCTTTTTTTTTGAGAACCATTAACTACTGTGATTGATTGATTGATAAGTATTTGAAGATATTGTATGCTCCAGCCTTCAGTCTACCCCAGTGAATGAAATAACGGGTTCAATTTGATATTCCAACTGCCTGAAGAAGGCCTGAGCGTACAACAGCCGAAACGTTGTATATATATATGGTGACAAAGATGAGGACAATAGTCCGAATAATGTAAATAGTGTGCATAATGCCTCATCTCAGAAATATAGACAGATACTTGGGGTGAATTGATTAAATTAAGAAAAGAATAATTAGCGTACATATATAGGGCTTTATACATTGAAATATATTTGCAGGAAAGAAATCCTGCAAAATAAATTTACAACAAAGATGCATATTTTAATGTTTACGTTTCTGTTGTACGAGTGAGAAAAATAAGCTTTTTTGGAGAACCATTAATTACTGTGATTGTTTGATAAATATTTGAAAATCATAAAAGATTCTCTCTTCTATTTACATTTAATATCACAGTATTATAGTGTTTGACTATGTACATGTTCTGGTAGTCGATGATATCTGGGTAAACATTAGTTTCTCCATAGCTATGACTTCACAAATAAGGCCAGAAGCTATTTTTTAGGGAAAAAATTTGGTTTTATATGCCATCCTATACTATAAGGCCAAATTAGATTATCTTAAGAAGAAAATAGTTTTATACTTTTAGAGGAAGACAAATGATTTTCTCTTTTGTTCATCTAATAAGAAAATAATTAAAATTGAATTTTTTTTCAGTTTTGTGAAGAAATTAATTTGTTTTTGTCATTAATAATGAATGTCTAGTTACTGTATATGACATTGGTTTCCTTCAGATGATAGAAGGATTTTATGCATGGAAATTAATTTTAAATCCTCATTTTTCTTTTCTTTACAGGAAAGCAACACTGTTGAGCCAAATTGTTTGGTGCAAGTTGATGAGTATGGTTTCTTCATTTACTGGAAAAGTGAAGGCAAGGTAAGGAATTGAAAGATTTGAAATAGTACTTGAAATAACTATGCAAATGATTTGTGCTTAATGTGATAATAAGCACACACTCTTTTTGGGTGAATCTTGTAAATAAAAGCTTTGTTAATGAGTACATCAGCTGTACTTATACAAACTTTTAGACATTGTTTTTTAAGACAAGGTTTTTCTTTTTTTTTTGTAATTTTGAGAAAATTGATCATATTCTTTTTATTACATTTTAGTCAATCTATTCTATGCCTTTTGCATTTTAATTAAGTATTTGGTTCTAGGTTTTCTTATTGACACTGACCAATTGACCACTGCTGCAAATCTCTAATTTAGTGATTTTTCTGTATTAACATGGGGTGGGGAATTAATGAATAAGCATTGGATTTTGCAGGTGTTTTTTTCTTTTCTAACTTGATCTGTATGTCGTACATTGAAAATGTCAATCATCAGGAATTGATGCAAGCATTACTGACAAACTGAGTAGGCTACATATATATATATATATAGAATAAATCCTAACGAGCCAGGCAAACCTACCTAGGTTTCACCTAAACAGATCTTCAGGGTAGATTGTCTTTTCAAGCAAGTAATACTGTTTATATATATATGGGCATGTGGTCGAGTGGTTAGAAGGTTTGCATTCTAACCGTGAGACCTGGGTTCGAATCTCACCATGGTCGATTTGTCAGGAAGGAGAGTTCCTGATGCTATTGGACTGGAGGGGTCGATCCCAGAGTGTGGCACCTTTGGAAAATGCCTGAAAACCATACCTGAAAAACCAAGAATTGTGAGTGAAATTGGGTAGACGGTACCATTGGGTGCTGTCAATAGCTGTGCTAGCACGAAATCACAAGTCAATGTGGCGGAAGGCTTGAGCTTGCTGGCCCTGTTCAAATTGTTGATCATGCTAGATAACATTCCTCTTTCCCAGAAACTGTAACTAAGGTTTGCTCAGCATAGTTGCAGTATAAACCACAGGTGGGCTCTGTGGGTGTTGAATCAACACAAATGCACCCGAGTAAGCCTCTGCAATAGGGATTGGTTAGCTGCCCTAGTAGATAGGTATACTCGAATACAAGTAGCTGGCTATATATATATATATATATATATATATATATATATATATACATATACAGACAGACACACGTCATTTCATCAAATGATGATATATATGAAACTGATATTTTGTTATGTATTTCCTACTTATAGTTTTTCTCATGCAAGTCCTTCTTAAATGTATTTCTCTGTTATTTACATTAAAATAGTCCAAGTGTAAATAAACTTAAACTATTGTCCTCATTTTTTTTTTTTTTTTTAACCCAACATTTCAGCTGCCGTGACTTCATCAGGAGTTTGTTGATCTGTGTAACCTTCAGGGATTTTCAAACTGAACCTTTTATTTAATCTACAGGCGTAGATTGCTCTTATTTTGCTGATCATGTCCAGAGATATCTTGTCTATTTAGAATTGCTCAGTTAATGTCAACTCTGCTTCAACTAAGTCTGCACTGTTAGATATCTAAAAGAATCGGCACATATGTTAGGCTATGGGAAACCCCTTGATGGTCTAGCATAGAAATATACACAACACTGGAGCTGTTAATAAATAAAGAGAAATGATAGCATGACTCAAACAGAAGTAGTAAAAAAAAAAAAAGAAGTTTTGCTGAACACTGTCAAGCAGCATCAGCTGGTATATTAGGTTTAAGGCTGCAAATTCTACACTCAGGATTGTCCCATGAGACAATAACCTAGTGGATTAAAGCATTGGTTTGTGAATTTGGTGATATAGTAACTGTTAGTTCAATCTCTCAGCCAAGCAGTGTGAATTTGGTGACACATTACTTGTGAGTTCAATCCCTCAGCCAAGCAGTGTGAATTTGGTGACATACTACTTGTGAGTTCAGTCCTTAGATGAACAATTCACCCTTGCATGGAGTATTGCTGCCATATATGGTCTGGAGCCCCTTCTGTTTGCATCGGGGTTCTTGATAGGCTCCAGAGGTGGATATGCAATATAATTGGCTCTGCTCTGGCATCTCGTCTACAGTTACTTTCTCACAGACGCGCCGTTGCCTCTCTCTGTCTGTTTTACAAATACTTTCATGGCAATTGCTCCGAGGAGCTGCATTCGCTGGTTCCCAGACTTCATGAGTTCAAACGCCCTATGAGGCTGGCATCCCGCTCTCACCCTTTCACTGTCGAAACTCCTAAATGTAGCCATCTCTTCTATTCCAATAGCTTCATGTCTTGCACCTCTGGAACTCCCTTCCCTATTCCAGTTTCCCTGTGAGCTATAATCTCCAGCTATTCAAATGTAATGTCAATCGACATCTCCAGTTGCCTTGATCTATCCACTACCCTTCTCATCCTTTCTTCTATCACTCCTATCGGATCTTGCTCCAAATTTTCTGTAACCCCTTGCATCCTAGTGGCTTCCTGCCTTGCTTGGGGTGAAACGCTTTAAAAAAAAAAAAAATGTAAATAATGATAATCTCTCATCTGAGAAATTCAGAGAGTATTCTTTCATGGGGTAGGTTTTGTTCGCTTTCTGGCTTTGTAAACATTTTCAAATAGTTTGATATTGCCATAACAATGGCACTGCAGGGGAAATAACTCCGGGACAGCAAAAAGTTGCATACATTGCAGACAAAATAAAAGTTTGTGATATAAAATGGTTAAATAATTTTTTTGCTACACATGCTTTATCACCTCATTAGTAAAACAATGTGTGGGTTTTCTGTTTTTTGGCCACCCTCATTATCTATTCCATCCTTCATTGTCTTTCTCTATACCTATATCCAGCCTTTAGAAGAATATGATTTCTCCATTGGTACTTCTATATTTGTATGATGTTCTTGAGGTATATTAAAGGATAGGTTTGCCATGACCTTCTACTATGTAACTTAATACCCTTAAATTTTCTTCCTTAGGAAGCAAAACTCATCAACTTTTGGATTTGAACTGTGCATTTTGTCACTAGTTGATCATTAGTAAGTCTAAAATCAAACTTAAAGTATGTTTTTTTTCAGCTTTTGTTTATAGTAATGTTTTTGTTCAAAAAATAAATAACTGAAATGAATAATAATAAACAATTAAATAAATGAGTAATAATAAATAATAAACAGAAATGAGTAATAATAAACAATAATGAGTGATAATAATTGAATAAATGAGTAATAATAAACAATAATAAACAGAAATGAGTAATAATAAACAAATAATGACTAAAAAATTCAAGAATGAATTATGTAAATTAAGTCATCAAAAATGGTGTTTGGTAAAAAGCAATAACAGCCACAACTGTAGCAAGGTAAACTGATGGGTTTCTTTTCATCTTCTATTGCACCATCCAGGGTCATTGATAATCTTAAATTCCTCTCTAATTGCTATCTTTTTGTTGAGTTTGGCTAGAGCTTTCTTCCTCAGTGTATGTTTTTCAAAGACAATATTTGACTAAGCAAAGAGTAGAATGTTAAACCAGGTAGAAAATTTGGCAAAATGAATTCTACTATTTTGCTTGCTTATATGTACAGCTGTTTTGCTGTGCAATCCAACACCACAGAAGTGTCTGTCACCAGCGATCTTATGGCTTGATATCTTCCCACTCTTTCTCTCTTGCTTACTACTATGCTTTCTTTGTAGCTTAGTTTATTTTTTTTTACTCATTTTGTGTATTATTTTATATGTAAGTTATATATATATATATATATATATATATATATATATATATATATAATAATATTCATATAATAGTCCTATTCTGTAGAAATATATGTGAGAGCAATAGTAACATTTTAGTGGTTAAAACTACTAGAATTTCCATTAGTCCAACTAGTGACAAAACATTGTAATCTTATTGCTACTCTATTGCTATTTCCATAGCAAATGTTCAAATAATCTACATTCTTTAGCCTCCCCAACCCATTTTAAACATGCCATGTACACAGTCAGATCATCCAATAAACTACATCAAGCAAGGTCTGTGATCAGGAGAGTGGAGGTTTTGAGGCTCATGGTACCACTTCTTAATTGATGTTATTCCCGGGTACACCCTGACCCATGGTGGTATCACCTGTTAGAGTCCCAGCTGTGGGCAAATGCTGAACTCCTAAAAAAAAAAAAACTATGAAAGTATAAAAATATATTTTTATAGTAAAAATACCAACAACACATTTTTATATTAAAAAATTACCAACAACACCTATTTATATTAAAATAACCAACAATATTTATAGTAAATTAATCAACAATACCTATTTATGATAAAATAATCAACAATATCTATTTATAGTAAAATAAACAACACTATTTTTGATAAAATAATCAACAATATCTATTTATAGTAAATTAATCAACAATACCTATTTATGATAAAATAATCAACAATACCTATTTATGATAAAATAATCAACTATATCTATTTATAGTAAATTAATCAACAATACCTATTTATGATAAAATAATCAACTATATCTATTTATAGTAAAATAAACAACACTATTTATGATAAAATAATCAACAATATCTATTTATAGTAAAATAAACAACACTATTTATGATAAAATAATCAACAATATCTATTTATAGTAAATTAATCAACAATACCTATTTATGATAAAATAATCAACTATATCTATTTATAGTAAAATAAACAACACTATTTATCGTAAAATAATCAACAATATCTATTTATAGTAAATTAATCAACAATACCTATTTATGGTAAAATAAATAACACTATTTATCGTAAAATTATTAACAATACATTTTATAGCTTATGACCTATAACACATTTTATCTGTAGTTGAAGCAATAAAATTTGTTCAAAATATTTAGATTCCAGTATTAAATAACTGATAGAGGTTGATATCTTGCTAAACAAAATCAACCAACCAATAAAATCATCGTCATTCATTTCCCGTTCCATTGGTAAGAAGCAAGTTTCACTCAGACAACTTCTTCCTGAGAATGGCTTCTTTGTGGAACAGACACCTGAAG